CGCCAAATAGAAAATTTTGATTTCGACCCACAAAACAAAATTAGGATCTGCTGCCTTGCTCGCTCGCTTCAGGCTCGCTCGCTGCGGCAGCAACAAAATTAGGATCTGCTGCCTTGCTCGCTCGCTTCAGGCTCGCTCGCTGCGGCAGCAATAAATGGGATAAATTATGCAAATTTTGCGGGAAATTATGTAAATTTTGTGATGTTTGGAAAAATTAGTTTAATGTTCCGAAAAATGTTGGTATGTCCGAAAATATTTGGACCCCTAAAATGGTTGGGCACTGGTTGGACACAATTCTAAAAAGTCGGGCAAATTTCTTTCTGCCCCCCCCTAATTTTTTCCTTCCCGTACGCCTATGGTTCCAACAACTTGTCAACAGGGTATGTTCGCTCTGCTTGTTCCCAGCTTGTTGACAAGTTGTCCAACAACTTGGCGACGACTTGCTACAAGGCTGTTGAACTCAAAGGACTTGTTACAAGTTGTTCCAATAACTCGATTTCGCATGCACTGCACTATTCAAAAAATTGTTAACAAGTTGTGCGTGACAACTTTGTAGCAACTTCAAAAAAATATAACGGCAGCATTGTTACAACTTGTTGACAAGCTTGTTCCACGCCGAACACATCTTGTTGACAAGTTGTACGATTTTTACGTGTGTATAAGTCGTTGTCAACAAGCCGTTAACAACTTGTGAACAAGCTGGGAACAAGCAGTGCGAACACATCCTGTTGACAAGCTGTTGAAACAGTACTGATTTGCGTTTTTTGTGTGTATACATTAATAGAAATTAAATTGGGTGGGATCAAATGGAATAATAGGGACCTTTAACTAGCAGGACGGCGACGACTATTAATATAATGAAATTTATGACAGTGTAGAAAGAAAATGCATAATTAAAGTCCCATGGGAGTTTTAGACGTCGTCCTTGCTCTGTTTACAACAGCAAACCAAAGATTTTCACGTTTTGTACACAACGTCTGCCTTTCAAGCCGCGAGTCGCGAGAAGTCGTCCTCGTCAAATTGGCTTAGTAGAAGTCTTCTCAACTATAAACCTTTGTCTTAACCTTCGCAAATTGCAATAAATTCATACAACGAATAATACAAGACATGTTGATCGTAAAGTTACTTATTCGAACGAGTTTATTTTGGCCGTCGTCGTCGCGTTGCCGTCACCTATTTGCTAAAGGTCCCTAATATATTAAATGAAACGGTTATTACAAAGTTGGAAATAAAATTAAAACCTCTACATACGTAATCTGATAGTTGATTTCAAATATTTCTTGTCCATTCCTTTCACTCGTTTCATTTGGTTAATCTCGTCGCATCCTTTATATATGTGCTTTCTTCCGATAAGTATATATTGATGATGAATCATCATCTCACAACTGCGCTTTCTTCGCGACGGTTCCATACTTTCGCTTGTATTCGCCGGATTATTGTTATCCGGTGTTTCTGGGCCGAGACGATTGCTTTCAAGTACTGTTGGACTCGCTGGCTTGCTCGGGTTGGCCGTGCTTGACATGGTATTAAGTTTCTGGCCTGTTTGAGTGGCTGGATGGTTCGTTGACTTTGCCTGCGCGGTTGAAGATACTGTCGTCGCCTTTAAAATGTCTGTCTCGCCTGTTATTTCTGTCGGGTTTATTCTTCTTGTTGTGCGGTTTGTCGTTTCTGCTTGCGCGATGGTGGAACGAGAAACTTGAATCGTCGGCACTCCACGAGTTGTGTCGGTTGTGGACACAATTGTCGACGTTGTATATGGCATTGTCGTTGATGCCGTTGTGGTGACGAAAGAACCCCGGAAGCATTCTTCAGTCGCTTTGGAAACCACGCGAAGCTTGAAAGCTAATAGGCAAAAGGTGATACAATATATTATACAATAATATAGTTCTTAAATTAATCACTAAAACAGCCGGTTTAGGCAACGTTTTATACACTTGTACAGGATAGCAGTTTCCGTAGCGACATTAAAGAACACATATCCGTGTACCTTTTAGGAACGGTATTTTCAGATGAATTATTGCAACGTAGAGATGTTGTTTCGCTCAGCTTCTGAAAGTTGTACATTCCGTATATTGGGTAGTTGTTAGAATGTTAGGGTTTGTAATCCAAGTGAGAATATATACATTTTAAGACCTAACCAGGAACGACTGCGAAAAATGCAGCACAAGGTCCTTGTAGTTGCTCCTCGTAGTTGCTCTTTTGCGCCGCTACGGAAACTCTATCCGGTATAGACGTATAGTGTAAACAAAGCCTAAATCTGACGTTTGACTAAACAAAACCCACTTTCTCTATAGGCAAACAAGTCTTTGGTTTTTCATGACTTGGTTTAATTGTTTAAGCCTGCCGGTTTCCATATGGTCGTAACGGTCGTAAAGATTGAGTCACGATCTTTCTCATCAGCCAAAATACAACATTTTAGAACTGAACTACGCGCGGAATGACTATACTAGAGAATACTTATATGATTTATATGCGGTTTACGGGTATAAACTATTATAAACTGGCCGTTGAGAAAGATCGCCGATCGTGTTACGACCATTATAATTACGACCATATGGAAACCAGGTTTTATTCTCTTCAGATGAATTGAAATTTCGACCTCCTATAACGGTTCATCTGTCTCGCTCTTTAAAAAATCCGTTTAATTTTGTCCTCGTACTGGGAAAGTCTCGTTTCATGGCGGAATTAAGCTGTCCTGGATAATAAACCAAGGATACAGTATCCTGAATTGATCCTACACATCCGTCAACCTAACTACGGGTATTCAGAAATTCACTTCAACAAAATTCCGTTGAAGATTCAGAAGAATTAAATCCAACGTACAAAACCGGCCTAAGAGTTTCAACTATTATATAGTCTATATAATGCTCGCTTCATCTAAATCTCATGATGAATGTTATGAACGCGACTGAAAAAGACGAACCGTCAGTCAAGGCGGTCGCGTGGCAGCCACGCGAACTTTTCTTACCGTATTTGGCCTCACGATATCTCTTCTTTATCGTCGCAGGCTTCATAGAACGACCAAAACAAGCGTCCATTAATCCAACTAATACAAATAACACGCTGAAAATCTTCATGTTGGGTCTACAGTTTCTCTTACAATGTCAAAGACAAAGAAATTAAACAACCCTAGCTCTTCTTCTAGTACAGTAAAATCCGAAACAAAATCGATTGATCGCAGCGTAAACGTGAATCTAGAATGCCTACAGTCTCTGTTTATTCAGTTTTGGCGACGAAATGCTTTTTATACTAAATATGCTGCACACTGCTGGTAAACTGTTTGGTCTCCACAGAAATTCAATTGAGCGGCAGTTTATACTTTGTCATCAATGTCTCAACGCATTGAAGTGTTGAAAAGGTTATAGCCTTGACAAACAACGGGGGTCTATTCTGGAAAAGTGGAAATGTTTTCATCTAAAAAATTTGCAGCGCTAAAGAATGATGTTTGTTCAACAAATCACCAAACATATTTGTTTAACCTGGCGGTTTTATGTCAATAGTACACGAATTTCTGACAAATATCAATTGGATATAATCCGGGGGGGAGGTACTTGTTGTTCCAGAAATAGATAATAAATCCAAAAGTGTTCGTGTGAATGTTAGATGACACCACTCAAATCATGCGTGGCGGAAAATTTCCAGCCTAAAACAGGCAGACACGCAAACTCATGAGTCTAAAGTTCATTTAGGGTATTATAATTGGTTGCGCAGTAGTAATATGTTTATAAAATGCTCCGTCGTCCGCCCTCTGCCGTCCGCATCCGCTTTCTATCTAAAAAACGCACAAGTTGTTACAGGTCTGCAAACAAGTTGTTACAAACCTGTCACACAAGCTGTCGACAACTTGTGTTCGCACTGCTTGTTCTCAATTGTCGTAACAAGTTTGGAACAAGCTGTTAACAACTTGTAACAAGCTTGATGGCATTATCAGACTTGTTACAAGGTTGTTCTAACAAGTCTGATACAATCATGATATGACAAGATTCACAAGAATGTTACGAGGTTGATCACACAAGTTTGATGATATCAACAAGGTTTAGTACAAGTTTTAACACAGCTTGTTCCAAACTTGTTGACAACTTGGGACAAGCAGTACGTGCGAACACAACTTGTTGATCACGGCTTGTTGGCAGACTTACTACAAAATGTGAGAGTTTTTGTGTGTACCCGAAGTATAGATATTTGAAATATATTATAGAAAATTACAATTGAAAATCGACTGAATCTTAGTCAAAAGGTAGAATATTAAAGAGGCTGTCAAGTCCGTTCTGCTCATGCGTGTGTTTTGTTTACATTTTTTGTGTCAAACAATAGATAATTCAATTAAAATTCCGATCTGTGGGCCCACAAGTTAGCTCATTACGCATTCAGAATATATTACGAAGGAAAAATTGAACTACGTCTACTAAAGCAAAAATTTAGCCCCCAAACAACAAATTTTAAATCGAAAGCGCTAAGCTTAAGAAGCACTTCTTAAACGGAGGTATGGACAAAATTTGATTAAAATTTGTACACATTTAACTCATACCTTTGTATAAAGAAGTGTTTGTTAACATTTTCAATCTTAAATTTGTCATTTTGGAACTAAGTGTGTACAAACTTCAATCAAATTTTGTCCATACCTCTGCAAGAAGTGCTTCTTAGCGCTTTCGATTTAAAATTTGTTGTTTTGGGCATATGGTTTAGGGGCTAAATGTTTGCTTTATAGTACGTCCAATTTTTCCTTCGTGATATATTCTGATGCGTAATGAGCTAACTTGGGGGCCCACAGATTGGAATTTGAAACAAAAATGTAAACAAAACACGCGCATGAGCAGAACGGACTTGACAGCCTCTTTAAAATTAGCATTTTTGCGTCATTGCCATAGTCCAGTTGCATAAGGAGATCAATGGCGTCGTGTTCCCAGAAGACGAAGCAAGCTTGAAACGACTCTCTTCATCCGGTTTGAATCCAAAAGTACTTCGTTGTGAAAGTTTTGTGTATATTTTTCAATATTTCGACAAAATGGTCAAAGAAACAGCCCTGTACGGTAAGTAATCTTCAAGAATACCTTTCTATACGATTAAAAATTTTAGTATCGTTTCTTCAGACAGCTTTTTAACGTGTTTTTGATTGACATCAATGTGAGTCACCCACACGTGTTGAACCTGATGTCATAACTGATTTTGTGTGTTTAAACTGATAATAACTGTTGTTCTCTTTAAGATACACTGGAAGTGAAACCTACAGCTACTCCCGAAGAATTAAAGAAGGCGTATCGTAAACTCGCAATGAAATATCATCCTGATAAAAATCCCAATGAGGGAGAGAGGGTATAAAATGCTTTGAACTGTGTTTATAAATTAAAAGTTGTGTCGTAATACTGTCATAGACTGTTTGACAACACAACACTTTTCAGTAATAAGTTGGTCAGAATTCAATTTCAAAGCGGTTCTGTTAGGGTAAAATTCAGATAAGTTGTGTTGTGCCCTAATGCACCGTACATTATTATTTTACTTTATTACAATTACTGGCCTAAATGCCAGCCAATTTCACTCGTCAAGGGGAGAACGCTGCCCAGAGCACACTTCTTCGCTCCAAGATGGCGCGAACCAAGGGACAGATAAATTTTGTTGAGAAAAAACACAAGTCAAAGTCGATCAACCAGCGGATTAGGGGGATCCAACAACTTAAATTGTTCATGTCATGATGTATTGGTTAAATTCTGACAATTATTTCAGTTCGTCCTGTCTATTAAACGGGTAGTGATTGACCAAATTTGCCACAATCCGAAATTATGATTATGCGACAATCTATATGATAATAATACTGATTTAATTTATAATGATGTCAGTTGACCAACAGCACCATGCTATTGGTATGCTTCACATATTAATTCTGTTGCTTCAACATGCTATGTTAAGATGCAACATGTATCAGAGCAATGAATTTAATTTTTAATTAAAGTCTGTATTTTCTCAACAATTGGTTTACACAATCAGAAGTGCAGATAAATACCGATGATGATTATTATTATATACACAAGGTCTGGATATAAGGTATTCTGCAATCTGATTGGTTCTCTACTGGCAGGATATTAGCTCATATCCTGCTAGTAGAGAAAAACACAATTACAGGATTAAAAACACAACGAACAAGCTCCCACAAATTGTTTATAGTTTAGCAAATGAATTTTTAAAATTTAAAATGGTTAAAAATATATATTTTTGAAAAAATACTCGGCCGAAAGAGCGAAGATAAAAACATAAACAAAATAGAAAAATATTGAAAATATCTGAAAAGCAAGGTCTGTGAATTCAGACCTTGTGTAATACTATATAATAAAACAGTTATTCCACTCACTCAGGTCGAATATGAGCTTATATTCGACTTGAGTTTGTAGAATAACTGTTAATTGTATAGTTTGTTAACTTCAGATGATTTTACTTGTCAAAGAGAGAGTGCTGCTACTCAATGGGTTAATCAGAATGTCTCTCAATGTATCCTGTTAACCCTTTCAGTGGCGATGTGCCCTGAGGCTCAATAGACTGTATTATGCTGTAATACAGTGTGAAAATTTGTGGCATTAGGCTGTTGCGGTATATCGATGTAGTCGATAAATGTCGAAATTTCAAAAATATTGATATTTGATTTTGAATACCGACAATATCAATTATTTCCTGTTAAAGCCTAGAAATCACCTGTGGGCAAGAACCAATAGGCTTGTAAATAGTAATTCTCATACATCATTAGATATTCATAGCATTTCGGCCAATGACATGGTTTAATTTACATCACGTGTATCTATCTGGATACCCCGTCTAGACCAGGACTTTAATTACTTCAAGTGGGAAGGGCTTTGAACAATAGGGAAATTGAGGCGTAAACAAAAGATTATGCAAATATATTTAATTGCTATGTTTAGAATTATTTCTAAATACAGTAAGTTGTATTTAGAAATTTATTCTAACTACACTTTATAGCTAACACTTTTCCTAAACATTTGAAAACTACATAAATATAGGAAAACGAACTTTTTTACTAACTATCATAATAAACAGCGCTTTAAACACTATAATACAGCAACTTACCAGTAATGTTTACCGTCTATAAAATATATATTCACTTCGGCTCTTTCATTTTCCACCAGATAGCGCCTTATCGCACACACAATCTGATATATCGTTTTTCGGATCCCCAACCTTGTCAGCCGAGCGACAATACTGTGCACAATGCTGTGCTTAACACTTTCTGGTTCTCGAAACCGCTTTTTCTTATATTATAAGAAGATACCATGCTCTCAGTTTGCCAACAAAATTAATCTATTCACGACGAAAGCGAACTGAATGCTTCGTTGCACTTCATGCGAACTTTCAAGCGAATGTAATCGTTAATGCCCACGCTCACTTTTTTGAATATCTAATAATTTCATGCCTCATTGCTATGAAAGTCTAATGATGTATGAGAAGCAATTTCAAATCCTCATTAGTGTTTTAAACTTGGCTTCCAAATCCCCAGTGCCATGATCAATGGCTCGGCTGCGCCTCGCCATTGTTCATGGCACTTGTATTTAGAAACCACGTCTAAAACACTAACTCGGATTTGAAATATTACATAAATCTTTTTAACATTCCTAAAATGACCATATTTGTAGTAAATAAACCTTTTGATATTCGATTAGATTCATGCAAATTTTGCAATGTTTTCTATATCAATGTATCGAAATATTCCAATACCACAACAGCCTATGTGGTATTGCTTGTCGACCCAAAAGCTGGGTAGTTGACTCTGATTAGTCACAACTGAATATAATGGATTCTGATTGGCTGAACTTAAATATCAACAAACATTGCAGGGCTTGAAATAGCGGGCTGCCAATGGCCAAAAGCAGGCCATATTTTAGAAATGGAAAAGTGAAGAAAAAAACGGCAGGTGAAATTCTATAGATATATTTCATTTCATTTGCTTACCACAACTCATATATACTAGATCATTTAGTTGACTAAATACGTTTATTTTCGAAACGTAAATTCAAGTTTACTGTAGTAAAATAGACAAGTTTAAAAACAATAAAAATGCATATCATGAAAACACTAATTTTTACAATGTGACTCAGGCCTTAAAATATCGGTCGGTCACGGACATTGTCCAACCCATTTGTGAAATTGTCCGACGTAGAAAGAAAACTGAGGTTTATTGTTTGTCCTACCTGAGTGTATTTGTGTTGAACCAAACTGTAGCTTTGTCCAACATAAATCAAAATGTACCCTAGCCCAGGACTAGAGGCTTGCATGTTAAATGGAAAGTCAGTACTATTGTATAAAAGGTGAACTGGAAGTGTTGTTTTAATGTAGTCAAACGTGGGGTGGCGAGCGAAATGGTGAAGTGGAAAACGTGCTTAAGTTGTCAAAGTCTTTTTTAATACTGCTGTTCTGGAAAGCAAGTTAATTTTAGCTTGGGAATAAGTATGAAAGAAAAAAATTAAAATTTCTTCACAACATTTACAGTACAGAATTAATACATTGTGCTGATATTCATTTGTGTCATTCAGACTTATTTCCGAGTCAAAACTGAACTGAAGGTCATCGGAGATATGTCCGACCCAAACTCGATGTCATTGGACATTTTGTCAGACAGCCTGTGAAAGATATTTTAAGGCCTGATGTGACTCATATGAGACATTGTCATTTTGGCAGTTCAGTGAATAAAATGGCAGGCTAAAATTTATTTCACCTGCCAAAAAATGTTAGACTGGCAAGCCATATTCTTTCTCTACTTTGAGCCCTGGAACATTGGACTTTAATTTTTAAAATCAAAATAATACATTTGTGACACTTGATGTTCATTGTAAATTTCACTGCTCTCTATGCTTCAAACTACTAAATTTTTGATGCAAAAATGTTTCTAATGTATTGCAGAGTAATATGATCTTGTATGTTAATTCAAAGTCAGACAAGCGCCAAACAATTTTACTTGTCCAGTGGAGAGTGCTGCCACTCGGTCGGTTAAAATAGAAAAAAATTGCAAAATGACCTAAAATAGTCAGTCAGTTTTTTGCAGAAGAAGCCATTTAAAATAGCTTGTATTCATGCAATAGTCTCGATTACAGGCCTCGAATTTCCCTGAAATCAATCGACGGCATTGGTGTTAAAAATTGCCGTAGAATGTAACAGCTGTCTACGACAATTTTGGCAGTTTCCACAGCATTTTTTCAAATTACTGTAATAAAAATTTAATTTTATTGAAGATTACTTTGGATTGTTGACAAACTAGAAACATGTTTACATATTTCTTTAGTGTTTTTTTTTAAGAAAACTGAGACTAAAATAGTAGTTTATGCATAATTTGATCAGCATCTGAATTCAAGTATCAAAATAGCAATGCACAGTGAATAGTATAAAAAATATTCTATGTGGCAAAAAATAAGCCCTGCCTGATTATATGAGAGCACTGCATGTTCCTAGGCTGATTTTAAACTTGTATTCAATTAGCCATTCCGAAGTTGATGAAAGGACTGGGGACGAGTGTTAAAAAGTGCCCAAATTAAGAAATTAACCAAATCACTAAAAAGAGCACCTCAAAATTAGTTAGTATACAAAGTTTGAAGACGTTTACATGAATACCCTTCAAATAATAAGCTTTCGAAAATCCCGATATTTATTTTCGAAAGCTTATTATTCGAAGGGTATTCATGTAAACGTCTTCAAACTTTGTATACTTACTAATTTTGAGGTGGTCTTTTTAGTGATTTGGTTCATTTCTTAATTTGGGCACTTTTTAACACTCGTCCCCAGTCCACTCATTAACTTCGGAATGGCTAATGATGATGTTGTGCAAGTCATAACCCAACCAGATTGCACTAATAGTGATTTCCAATAATTGGTAATCATATATAAATTCCTGATTATAGCATGATTGGTCAATCACTATATATACCTCAAAATAACTCTGCAGTTAATACATACCAACGCCCCCCATGACACTGATTTCTCTATTTTACAGTTCAAGTCAATCTCACACGCTTACGAAGTTCTCGCGGATGAAAAGAAACGTAAACTGTATGACGAGGGGGGTGAACAAGCTTTGAAAGAGGGGACGTCTGGCGGTGGATTTCACAATCCCATGGATATCTTTGACATGTTCTTTGGTACAAGATCTCATGGCAAGGGACGGGATGTCGGCAGAGATATGGTGCATCAATTGAAGGTACTAAAAACCAACACCATGGTCAAATGCCCGTGCATATTTACTGCTTGTGTTCAAAATACTGGAAATGATATTGTCTTCATGAAGCAACTATTGAAGCTCGCCATTGACGAGCTCGCAGCGCGAGTGGCTTTAGACCTAAAAAAACACGACCTGCGAGTTTATTAAACGGCTTCAAACACGACTACAAATTCAATTTCAATAGATATACTGCCTTATTATAGTGTTCTTTATATAAAGAATACTAATGAGGACACGAAATAGATACTGCCTTATTAGTATTCCTTATATAAAGAATACTAATTAGGAGTGTTTTATCAGTGAGGTTTAAAACCACTGCATGTGACATACTGTATTATGGTTGACATGATTTGCCAATAAGCTTATGAATTATTAGTGAGTGTTTGAACTCAGTATAACTTTGTCTGCCATAAAAAGCATTGAAATTCTCTACCTCTAATATTTTCAGCCGTTTTCTTATAGTAAGCGATTTGTTCCTCGTTTTTCCTCCTATTATTTTGGCAGACATTTTGCCCCCCATTTCCGTATTCTTGTACATGTGCTTTACATGTGTCATTTTATTGTTGCAATTTATTTATTTATTATGCAAATTTCACACAATCTGCACAAATACAAACACAAGAGTGAGCAACCTATCAATCATAGCAGGGTATATACTACAGCTTACGCCAATTACAGTACCCTTACAAAACGAAGATGACACATTCTACATTAGATTTTTAGTAATATAAAAAGGCCAATTTGCACCCAGGAAAAACCCTTTATAGGATAGGAACGGAAAGGAAAGTTACATAGTGCTAAAGTCGTTAGTTCCAATTTCATAATGGTTTTGGAGGACTCTCGCTTTGACGAGTAAAATCGTCTGGCATTAGACGGAGTAAGATAACAAAGTAGGGTCATTTGAGTTAACAATGCTTTTACTTTTTGGAGATGTTGTAACTTAAATATTAGAGACCTTACGATTTTAGGACGGCAACGGCTACCAATACAATAGATTATTGAAAAGAATTGAGTAATTACAATATATGAATAATTTAGACATTGTCCTCGCTCTGTTTACAACGCTAAATCACAGATTTTCACGTCTTGATACAATGGCTGCATTCCAAGCCACAACAAGTGCAACTTCAAACTGGGTTTAGCAGAACTCTTCCCAACCATAAAACCCATCTCTTCAACTTCTAAAACTGTATTAAATCCACAGGATTGATAATATACGACGAACTATCTTTACTATACCATTTATTTGAAGGAGTTTGTTTTGGCTGTTGCCGTCCTAAAATCGTAAGGTTTCTATTGCAATCTCTAAATGCCACGACATGACACCACGAATGCTGATCAAATTGTAATGTGTTTCATTTTATTCAGGTTTCTTTGGACGATCTGTACAACGGCACAGTGAGAAAATTGGCATTACAGAAAAATGTCCTTTGCAAGAAATGTGATGGAAGAGGGGGGAAAGAGGTAGCGTAACAATCTTAAATTTAACAGTTGGCCGTTTTCTGAGCAAAATGCCATATTGGCGCCGTTTTCTGAGTAAAATGCCATATTGGCTGTTCAGTGTAGTGCTGTGCGCAGGCATTATGGCTAATCGTTATTAGCTATTAGTTCGCAAGACTAATAATAAAGTCAGGTGCATTCGGGTGTATTGCAGCTTAATGGGTTAACGATAGTGATTTACTGATTTGTGTCACAATCGGAATTTTCTTATCACCGATTTAACATTTTGTATTAAAACGCAAGGCGTATCAACGCGTAATGTATATAACTGCATATTTTCTCGACAATCGGTTGATACCGATAATTTTACTAGGGCTCAAAATAACGGGACATACTGTAGGTCTCCGGTCAAAATGACCGATCAAAATGACCGATCAACTTGATTTTAGCTCGGTCAAAATCTGTTTATGACCGATCATTGATATGCTTACACTAACAGTCAAACTATTAGAAACTTGTTTCGATACATCATAGTTTCATGTTTTAATTCAACTATTCAAGACGTCCGAAATCGCATTAGAAGGCATGAAAATGTGGCCGGTCAAAATGACCGGTGAAGTAAAAAAGTGACCGGCCGAGAGGCATTTTTGGCTGGTACATTGTCCGTTGACCGGCCGTTATTTTGAGCCCTGTTCCGGGGATTCCGATTGTTAAAATGGGGAAAATTGGCCCGACCCACATTCATGGTAGATGGCTTGGTAAGAAATGCATTTTTTCACATCTTCTAGGGAGCGGTGGAGAAATGCCGGCCGTGCCAAGGAACAGGAACTGTGACGAGAATACTCCAGATATTTCCAGGAATGGTACAACAGACTCAGTCCATATGCCACGATTGCCGAGGTGAAGGCGAAAAAATCAGAGGTGTGTTTAATGGTTTTATTTATAACCCACAGGTCCGGTTTCTTAAGCCTGGTTTCGATATGGTCGTAACGATTGAGTCACGATCTTTCTTATCACCTGAAATACAACATTTTAGAACTGAAAATACGCGGATTGATTATAACTAGAGAATACTTTCTTCAACTTCTTCAACTGTTAGCTCTATCGAGCAAGATGGCCAGGAGCGAATATAGTCTCACCTGCTAGGAGGAGTGTAGGTTTTCCATGGGCTGATGCATTAGGGAATGTTACTGCCCACTCTCCTCTGCAGTCTGCAACGCTACTGTCCCAACATTACCATTATTTGAGATGGCCGAACCTGTATGTTTGCCGTTCTGTTACGTTTTACATTTAATAATTTATCTTTTTTTTATAAAGTTTATATCTGCTTCTTTATCACGTATGCGTGACTGGACAGTTGCTGTAGCACAGTACAGTACAAATATTTGCTTGTTAAAGTACAGAAAATGTGAAAATATCGCTGTATAACATTACAACCTCGACATGTTAATGATGATGACAATGGTTGATGATGACAATGGTTGATGATTTATGCTCAGCAATGCGTTGTTAGAGATGTCGCACTCTATAGCCGATATAATCCGCATCACACAGATCACATTGAAATCTATACCCGATTTATGCATTATATAAATCACAAGTTCAAGTTCAATTTATTTCAACTATTTACCGTAACATATACATCACATTAGACGAAATATTCATAATACAAATTCGGTGTAAATACATAAAAAGGTTTTAAATTAAGATATTCAAACAGTGCACGAAATCACATTGAAATTTATACACGATTTAATTAAACATTAAACAAATGTTGTTTAGAAAAAGACAAGTGCAAAGGTTGTCACGGAAAAAAGACACTGCGGGAACAAAAAATACTAGAAGTTCGAATCGAGAAAGGAATGGAGGACGGGCAGAAAATCACATTCAGCGGCGAGGCTGATCAGGAGCCTGGGATCAAGCCTGGTGATGTCGTCATCATACTAGACGAGAAGGACCACGCTGTCTTCAAGAGGAGAAAAAACAACTTGCATATTAGCATGGAGCTAAACCTGGTCGAAGCCGTTTGCGGCTTTGAGAAACACATCGAAACTCTCGACAAGAGGTGGTTAAAAATTACCTCGCCACCAGGAGAAATTATAAAACCGGGCGAAATTAAGGCGATTAGCGACGAAGGAATGCCTGTCTATGGAAGGTCCATTTCAAAAGGAAGTCTGTTTATCAAATTTAATGTGGTGTTTCCGCCAAACGAGTTTGTTACATTGGAAGCTATAGAGAAATTGAAGGCGTTATTGCCTCCAGCTGACGAACCTATCATTCCAGACGATATTGAAGAATTTATATTGGACGACATCGATCCAGAAAATTCTAGTTCGTCCAACAACCAGCACCACTACGTTGTAAGTATTCATTTGGGGATTTTCTATTAACTACTGTACATACACACGCAGAATCTCACAACAAAACACAAGATGTTTGTGATGTTACTCTGAGTGTGCATCCACACTGGGCAAGCTGAAACGTTTGCCTGACCAAAGTCAAAGTCAAAATACTTTATTTAGGGTAAAAACACCATTACTGGTTGCCCAGTAGTTTTCATGATGGCCCTCAAACTGTTTTGTACTCAGGTGAATAAAGATTAGTATTCCAAAGGTCGCGGATTCCATTCCCACCGTGGTCAGGCAAACTTTTCAGCTTGCCTGGTGTGGATGCACACTCAGAGTAACATCACAAACATCATATTCACCTGAGTACATAACACCAACACACACAAAAAATGGCATCTTAAAATACATCGATATCGAAGGAACTATAGACTCAGTTCCGAAATATCACTAACTCCAACCGACTTGACCTTGTAGCTCAGTTGGCAGAGCCGTGGACTAGTATTCCAAAGGTCGCGGGTTCGATTCCCACCGTGGTCAGGCAAACTTTTCAGCTTGCCCGGTGTGGATGCACACTCAGAGTAACATCACAAACATCATATTCACCTGAGTACATTACACCAACACACACAAAAACACAAGATGATATTTCTTCTCTATTTCGAAGTCATTGTCAGGTTTGAAAAACTGAAGGACGAGGTTTTTTAATTTTTTGATAATCCAAAACCTCGAAATTTTGACTAGAAAACGATATTATCTCGACCAATCTTACACCATGCCAACCTCGTACCCAGTGCTAGTCTGACTCTGTCGCTGCCTTCAACTCGGGACTACCCCTCAGTACGAGGTTGACACCACACATTGCATGTCATGTACAAGTGGTGTTATGTCCGTTGAAGTGGTGTTATGACTTCAGAATGTCTAGTAAACTCCGTTTGTAAAGTCAATCTTTATGCCAATAGACAATTCCCATTATAGACTCATTTTTGATCTTGGCAAAGTGTATACTAAAATGAGTAAAGTTTGGTTGCGAAATGTTGTAAAATGCGGAAAATATAGCCTTGCAAAGTTCGCAAATTTTGTATACTTTTGTATTGTGTGCGGAAATTGCTACCACATTTGGGCCGAAAATGGTAGCAATTTCCGCACACAATACAAAAAATTTGCAATCTTTGCAAGGCTATATATTTTCCGCATTTTACAACATTTCGCAACCAAACTTTGCAATTTTACTCATTTTAGTATGCTCTTTCTAACTGTGGTGACTTATTTGCATCTCCTTGCCTAGTTTTAAAATTACTCTATAATCTATTTTGTTATGTGAAAATATCACTACAGGCCCTAAATTATATTGTTGTCTAAAATTTTCTAGTTTGACGGTTCGGACGACGACGATGGCCCACAGCAATCAGGAATGCAATGTCAAACACATTGAGGCAATATGTCAAAAACTTCGAAACTTTGTCGCGACAAACTGAAAGAATACTGTTGAGAAATATACATAAAATAAACAAACAGACTAACAATAATATTTATAAATATTGTTAATTTTTGCGAAAACATTTGCTTGATTAGAGGGTAATGGCAATGAAATTCAAGTCTGTTTTGATAGAAAGAACTCTTTAAACTGTAAAATAAGTTATTTTACAACTTTCTTTTAATCTTTTTTCATTATTGAGATATCTTTTAGATTGTTTTGATATTCATTTGTATATATTAGATTGTTTTGATATTCATTTTGATATTCATATGTATGACATCACAAGCTAGTAAAACAATTTTCAACGATGACAGTCGCGCCAAAGTCGCAAGCTCATTGTTGAAAATAGAGGTCATTCAGGTCTATACCGATGGTCCTATATTGATTAATCTTGCATACAAATTTATATGCATACAAATTTTTATTTATCTTAATTTTAATTAATCTTGCATACAAATTTGTTATGTGGACTGTCATAAACTTTGTCCCGCTGGTAACGTCATCTTTTTTACATATCAAATAAACTGAAATATCTAACCAAAGAAAGATGTAAAAAATTGTAAAATGACTTATTCTACAGTGATGTAAGTACATTTACATTGAAAGAGCTTCTTTGTAAATTTTATTGCCAATACCCTTTAAGCTGGTATAATTATATTAACCTCCTTTGCGGGTATCGCCTTTAGAATTTAGATTGGCGGGCAGAATTTGGATATGGGCAAAAAAAATTTGTGGAATAATTTCCAAACTTTCTTGGAATAAGCACAATGGATTGCTTGTTCGTTTATAATATATATACTCACATGGAAAACTTGTGTGTTTTGCAGGCTGGAGAGTTTAATAAATCGCTTTTAATTTAGCAGGAATTATTACCAAAAAAGTACTGAATTATTAAAATCTCTAAAAATGTTCCAAAATTTTACTAAAAAATTTCACCCTAAGTTTCACCAAAAGTAAAATATTTTGCAAATCTGGTCACACTGATCGGCGCAGAAAAACTCATTTTTGTGCAAAATGGTATTTTTTGCACAGAATAAGGATCTAAGATTTTGTAACAAACCACCTGTGATCAGGCGTATACGCCTTAATACGATTTGCCCATCCTCGTCCCCAGGCCCAAGCTCGGGCGGCCCTCACAGTGGCCCTGGGTCAGGCTGTTGAGCAGTTGATTGTGATTGGTTCTTTTGCTCTAAAGGAATGTTGCGGGTGGAAAGGAAATGCGGGTTAACAATAAACAATGGCTGG